AAGAAGTAGGATAAACATTAATGTACTTAAATGATATCATTAAATGACCTAAGTTGTAGCATTATCAAGAATAGACATTGACTATATGCGATAAGACTTGATTGCTATGCTTATGCTATAAGATAGTAGTAGAAGATCTCATATCTATTGACATAGTGATGCCAAAACAAGCATTTTGGTGATTAATGTTAGAGAACATATCACAAGATTTGACTAGCTATAAGAACCCATTTGGCTTAATTTATAAAAATCTCATACGAGATAGATACAACCGATCTTTTGACTTGAAGTTATCACGGTTATTTCATTAGAAGATTTATGTACTTTGACAATCATTTTGATGAGCTCAATAAAGAGCTCACGTGGACGATTCGTTGGATGCACTAGGAATCTAATAGAGATAGGTGGATGACTAAGATATGACATATCATTCATTGTATGGTAAAAGAATGATCATATTACACTTCGATAAATGTTTGCTCAAGGAATTCGTGACCATAGTAGGAGTATATCAATAGAACATAATTAGTTTACTCTAGAGCTAAGACATTTGAGAATCAAAGAAAACTTGTGTACTCATAATCAAATAGACTATAAATCAAGTTCGAGATCACACTATAATAAATTGACATGAGGGCTGAATTATTTGGTAACCATACTCATGAAAGGTGATTACAAGTTAATTAATACTCCTAGAGAATTAGGTAGTCATGATGCTATACTAAAGGCCAATCTCGATTTATGTATCAAGAGATAAAGGAGGTGTCTTTTATTCTTGATACATTGCCAACCTATTTAAAAGCCTCTTGAGTCACACGTATAAGTTTAAGTATTTATATAATAAAAGAGAAGCAAAGATTTAGGAAAAGGTTTTCGGTTTTGAAAGTTTCCTATTTTAGAAAAGATTTTCGAAAATAAAAACTTTTCTTTTTTGGGAAAAGTTTCCTAAAATGAAAAGTTTTCTATTTTAGAAATTAGTTTCCTAATTTGAAAGTTAGTTCTAAGTTTGAAAGTAAGTTACCTAAAAAGAAAAATTGGTTTCCTAATTTAGGTTTAAAGGTAATTTGTGAAATTATTTCATAATGTGAGCTTTCTCAAAATATCTAACCTAATTTAGTTGATAGTCCAAATTAATTTTTAATTAATTAGGCCAAAAGAGTTCGAGTCAATAGGCTTAATGTAAAAGCGTGTAAGATATTTTGGTGGAATGATAAAAATGAGCCATGTTGGATAAGGTTCGAGTTTACAAGGATAAGATTAAAAATCTCACCCATATTACAACTCATTATCCTAGGAGGACAAAGATGCCGCCCCTAGATAAATAAGAGGTAACAAAAAGGGTGTAAGACAACCAAAACACACGACATAAAAGAAAGAAAAGAGAGAAATTTTTTCTCCCTAAAGCTAGAGTTGTCGCATCCCCTCTTAAAAAGCTTGAAATGTCACAAACAACCTTGAGTTGATTTTTAGAGAAAAGTTAACTATAATAAGGATTGGAGTTAGCACTATGTGATTTTTATGGCTTTCTTTATGGATGTTTAAGTTGTATGGATTACCGATAAAGGCCGAACACTTGGTTGGCTCATTTTCTACAAAGGTTAAATATGTACTATAAGAGGTAATCTTGTACTCACACTTTAATTTATGTATCTATGATTAGTTGATTCAATGACTTGATCTTGGGAGCCTTAAACAAAGAAATTTTTTTTATTTTATTATGTACCTTCATAGGATGCATGATCCTTTAGAATGTGCTTGGACTATTAAGCATTGAATAAGGTCACCATGAAAAACAAGTGTCCAATTCCGTTGATAGCTTGTTCGATCAATTGAAGAAAGCTCAATTTTACACCAAGCTTGATTTGAGATCGAGATATTATCAAATTCAAATTACCATAGAAGATGTGCCAAAGATAGCATGCGTGATAAGGTATGGTTCTTACGAGTTCCTTGTTATGACGTCCGGCTTTATGAAGCCTCCGATACCTTATGCACCTTAATGAATAAGATATTTTAGCCATAGATGGATCAATTCATAGTGGTATATCTTGATGACATTGTGGTTTATAGCTTTACATTAAAGGAGTATCTCGATCACCTACGTACTTGTATTTAAGGTACTAAGAGATAACGAGTTGTATGTCAAAAAGAAGAAATGCTCGCTTTGTAAAAGAGAAAGTACTCTTCCTAGGGGATAAAATTAAGGGAGAAAGGTTGATGATGGATGAGGTAAAATCAAAGCTATCTTGAAATGAGAAAAATCAACTTAGGTGCTTGAGCTTCGCTCTTTCTTTAGGTTAGCCAATTACTAACATCGTTTCATCCATGGCAACTCAAAAAGACAGCCCCTCTTATCGACTTGTTAAAGAAAAATAAGAGATAAGAGTGGAGTGAATGCTCGTCGAAGCTTTTAAGGAGCAAAAACAAGTCGTTATAGAGGAGCTAGTGTTGAGCTTGGTTAACCCAACCAAGGCATATGAGATACACCCCGATGCTTTTGATTTTTTTATTTGTGGTGTGTTGATACACGAACAACATCTTATAGCTTACGAGAGTGGGAGGCTAAATGACATCGAACGTTAATATTCGGTGCAAGAGAAAAAGATGATTGTAATGGTACATTGTTTGTGTACTTGAAGGCATTACTTGCTAGGGTTTCGGTTTGTAGTGAAGATGGACAATATAGCCACGAGTTACTTTCAAACTTAAAAGAAACTGAGGTCGAAAGAGGCTCGATGATATGGCTTTCTTGTTTAATTTGACTATGTCTTTGAGTATAGGCCAAAAACGACTAATGCGGTGGGCGATACACTTTGTAGGAAGGCCGAGTTACATCACATGACGAACGTGGATGAGGAGATCGTGGGTAGAATCAATGAAGGTATGAAGCGCGATCCTGTTGCTAAGAGTTTAGTGGCCCTAGCCAAGGAAGGAAAAACTCAAAAATTTTAGGAGGAGGATGGCATTCTCTACATAAAAGGAAGGAAAATTTATATGCCTAAGTAGAAAAACCTCCAACAAGATTTGAAGAAAGAATGTCATGACTCGATGTGGTCCGGACATTCAAGACAACATCATACTAGAGCCTTGCTAGAGGGAGCATATTTTTTGTCATAATTGCACGATGATGTCGAGTCTTATGTGAGGATGTGTCTAGTATGCTAGCAAGACAAGGTTGAAAATCGAGTGTCTTGGGGTCTATTGCAGCCTTTGCCTATCGTAGAAAGACCATACGAGACAATCGGTATGGACTTTATAGTGGCTTTGCCAAAATCAAAAAACTTTGAAAACATTATCGTAGTCATGAACCAGTTCTCCCAATATGATACTTTTATACCAACCCCAATAGATATGACAATAAAAAACATTGCTAAGTCGTTCTTCAAGTATGTGATAAAGTATTGGGGTATGTCGCAATATATAATCGGTGATCGAGATCATTGATTTATTGGGAAGTTATGGATCGAGATATTCGAGTTATTGGGATCAAAGTTACATTTTTCTATGAGTTTTCATCCTCAAATGGATGGACGAGTTTAATGCTTTATCGGAGACATACTTAAGGTAGTTTGTGAGTGCCAACCAGCAAGATTGGACTAAGTTACTAAATATTACCTAATTCTCCTACAACTTGCAAAAGAGTGAGTCTAATAGCAAGAGTCCATTTGAGATTGTGACGGTCGACGGCCCCTTACTCCACTTATAATAGTGTTTGTGATAAGTACCAAGAAAACGGCCGAGTGCATATTCATTGGTTAAAAGATGATAAGAACGAGTAGACTTGACGTGAATGTATTTTAACAAAGCTATCAAAAAGATGAAGAAGTGGGTTGACAAGAAATAAAGAGATGTCACCTTGTAAACTAGGTGACAAAGTGATAGTGAAGTTGCTACCATAAGCAATATAAGGCTATTTCACAAGATGCACAAAGGCCTCATACGTCAATATGAAGGACTATTCGAGGTAGTGCATAAGATAGGAGAGGTGTCTTATCGCCTAGAATTGCCACCAAAGTTGAAGATCCATTCGGTGTTCCATGTTAGTATGCCGAAGCCATACCATGCATATGAGGAGGATCCAAGTCGAGAAGTTTCTCATAGGACGCCTATAGGAGTGGTTAACTCGTATGTCAAAAAAGTTGATGTCATACTTGATGATCGCACAATCGGATGTCATGGAGTGCCACCAAGAAAAGAGTATTATGTGAAATAGTAGGGATTATCGGAAAGTGAGACTAGTTAGGAACTCGCTGAAGCTTTGTGAAAATTCACATGGAAGGTTAAAGAGTATAATGAACGCATGCCGAGACATCAATAAATTAGGTAGGGGAAAATGTTATGCCTCGCTCAAAAAGGAATTTTTCTAAAGGCCAATTAGGAACGCTAGATAAGTCTTGAAGCCTTTAGAAGAGAAGCCTATAGGATATCCAAGAGAAATCTAGACATGTTCTAGAGAATTCGAGAGAGTCTCTCATTGTTCTAGTTTGTACATATCTAGATAGTTTCTTGTAAATATCTAGATAGGATAATTTTAGAGAATCAATTTTAGATGATAGATCAAATAGATCCTAGCAATTCATTGAGGAGGTAGAGGACTATAAATAAGTGAGAACTTTATTTGGCCAAAGCATCTAGGAATCCAATCCATTCCAAGGGTTGTAAGTATTTGAGAGAGTAATACAAATAGTTTTTATATCTTTTGTGTGTGTCTTTCTTGCTTGACAATTAGTTCTGAAAAAGGCTATTTTGGTTTGACTTAGAGAAAAAATGAGTCAAGTGCAGTACAAGAGTTTAGGAAAAAGGTAAATTCTATGATAGGTAGTTGTGTTTTCCTTGAAAATTGGAGGTACTAGGTATGAGCCTAGAATTGAAGTTTTCACTTTGAGGGCAAAATTTTGGAGAATAATTGAGGATTTTGGATATGGCTTGCCTTTGGAATTTCAGGAATAAATGTTGACGGAAACCTTTGTTAATCAGTCCTTCACACATCGAGTTAGCAAATGAAGGGGAGTATTGGATCCTCGAATTTAGTGAAGGAGACATACATGGAAGTGAAGCATCCTGATTTTTGGGAGTCTGGTTCTGCAAAGAATACCTTCGGGGGCTTTGGATGGATGCCTGTGTGTGATGTGTGATGACTTCTCGATTCGTGCTGATCTGGGGTGCTTAAGGAGTTCGGGGTAACACGGTCTTGGCCTAAGATGTTTAGCATGCCATACTCGGATGCTACTGCAAGGTTTCCAAATTATTCAGTACCATTATGCATTTATGATGGTGGGGAAATTTTCGAGTGTAAGCAAGTTCTTGTGATTTACAATCCCAAAGATGGGAGATGCAGGTATCAGTGATTAGTGGTTTCTGTGCTCGTGTAAAGGCTCAAGTATACATTGAGTGCAAAAATAAAGGAAAAAAGGGGGAAAAAAAGAGTTTACAGGAAAATCGTATAGATTATAAGCATGATCTACCAGACATCCAATCTTGGATCATGTAAATGAAAAATACCCACCAAAAATGGACAGACGAAATTAAAAGACTGGAAAAAAAAACATAAAACTAGGGCATGTAGATGTATTAAAGACGAGTCTGGCAGTAATCAGTCCAGCCATCAGAAACCTCTCTAGAACAGTTTCTGCAAAGTTTGTCGTAAGGAAATCCGTTGCCGTTAGCCACTATCTCCACATCTATAAACCACCTCTTCTTACAGTCAGTGACATTTTTTAGCAAGATTTCGCAAGTCCTTTCTTTTATATCATAGATAATCCATTCCAGAACCCTGTCGTCAATTCCCAGTGAAGAAAAGGACACCAACTATAAAATTCCAAAGTAGGACTTGAATTCATTGTGAATTCTTCTTCTTCTTCTAATTCCAGTGGCACAGACCTGATTTCTTGGTGCTTGGAGTTTGAACGCATGCGGAACTGAATGGTAGAAGGAGAGTTGTTGTCTTCGTCCAGCTCAATTCGCTGATGCCTTAATAACACTAGAGATTCTGGGAATGCCTTAAGAGCCATCTTAATTTGATGGTTTGCCAAGTTAACAAAGGAATGGAGAAGAAAGCTAGATGTGATAAGGTTTTTGGTTGTACAAAGAAACAAAGCTGCCTTTTCAATCCTTACATAGGAATTAGTTTTCCTTCCTGGAAAAGGAGGATCCTTGTAAAGAAAGCCTCCATCGAACTTGGTTTCCTGTTGTTAGACCGACTTGCTATGTTTCCTTCTTGGTTTTGGAAGACTCAACTTGATTTCTACATTTACACAGAACAACTTCAATGGGGGGCGGGATTGCTACTGCCCAATTAAAATCTGGTCTGAAAATTTTCTTTTCGAGTTTGGGCTCATTGTACACACACCACTATCAGATAATTGAAGCTAGCTCTCTGTCAAGAATATATATATATATATATATGATTCAAGCTGGGGCAGAAGCAATATTTTATTGAATACCAGGTCACTACTAGGGCTAATATTTAAAGCAATATCTTCTACAGAAAACAAGTTTTAGAATAAACAATCCATCACCGTATGAGGTTACAGAAACGACCCTTTTAATTTTCAACAATCCATCAATATGAAGCATACACAACTCACAGGAAAGGTTGGCTTGGAAAATAACCATTGTAAATCATTCTCGCGCCTGAAACATCTTATAACTCAATCACTCAACACGCAAGCTGAAGCAGAGAGAGAGAGAGAGGGAGAGAGAGAGAGAGAGAGATGGAAGGGAGGGGGAGAGAGTTTGTTAGAGTAGAGAGTGAAATGATTATACATGGCGAACAATATCATAAAAACTTTCTGTATAAGCCGAAACATGACTGACTCAAAAGAAAACCATACACAAGACTATTAAGGACGAGCTGTGATACCAATGACACACCCACACCAAACCCACTAAACCACCCCACATAAAACACAAATACATGGGGGCAAAAATTAGCTAATCTTCCCAGATTTCCCTGTGATATGAACTTCAGAAAGCCCTAAAATACATAGATTAACATGTTGCATACGTCATTCTGCAACTGGGGTTCCCCGTAAATCGCATGAATTCGAACACTACCCCTTCCCTTGAATTCTTCTTTAACCGCGCCTCCCTCCTTCAACTATATAATTGAAGAATTCATTTCCATACTCAACTACAAGAATGATACAGGACAAACAACAGGCAAAGTTCAATACAAGAAGTCTGATATCCTGATGGGAAATTGAAACCAAGACAATTAAGGATGTTGTATGTGCAACTTCTCTTCATGATGACCCTCAGAAGCATACAACATATGTTGCCTTCAAGACCAAAACCCAATAACAATTGTCTTGTAGGGTCATCACTCATTTGTACCATCGAAACTACCCATTGCATTTGCCCGCTTTTTCTCCCTCCAATTTTCACCCCATACTTTTGCCTCAGCAACTGCTCGTTCTCTATCTAAGTCACGATTTCTTGGCGTTTCCCTAGCTCTGCTGGTATTCACAGGACTATCTCTCTGAGAATCCTGTCGCTCCGAGTCATCCAAACCCCATTTTCTGCCAGATCCACCACCAGTTTCATTCCTTCCTAACTCTGCACCAGTGCTGAATTCCCTAAAATGATCCCGTTTTCTATAATCAGGTGAGTTTTTATAAGCGGAAGGGGAGCCATGTCGCCCACCACGTCCATGCTCATCTGGGCTATCCAGCCCATCTGCCATTCCCCTCCGATCATCTCTGTTCCGAGGAGTAGATGGCCCAACTCTGTTACTTTGATTGGTAGCATTTGGGTCATAGGTTTGGGAAGCTAAATATGTGAGAGCAGTCACAACATCACCTATTAGAGGCCTTGTGGCAGCTTGCTCTTGCAAACACATAGCTGCGACTGCAAGAGCTTGATACAATCCTCGCATTGGATAACGACCTTGAAGCAATGGGTCAGCCATTTTAGGGAATTTTCTACGATCCTTGAAAAGTGGCCTTGCCTAAAAGCCCCACGTTACAAGAAACAAAGAGAGGAGAAATATGTTAATTCAATGTACAAAATATAAAGGACATAAAATTCCATGATGCCTTGATATGAAGCAACAAGAAGTTCGCTGATGAATGAAGGAAAGAAACCCTTACCCATGCAACCAGATTATGCTCCCCAGGTGCCCGAGTATTATCAATTGCCTTGCGCCCTGTGATAAGTTCAAGAAAGACAACCCCAAAACTATACACATCAGACTTCAGAGTAAGTTGGCCAGTCATGGCATACTCTGGAGCACAATAACCATATGTCCCCATCACACGTGTTGAGACATGAGTCTTGTCACCAACAGGACCTAGCTTTGCAAGTCCAAAATCTGACAACTTGGGGTGATAGCCCTCATCAAGAAGGATGTTAGACGATTTTAAGTCCCGGTATATGACGGGAGGGTTTGCTTTATCATGCAAGTATTCCAATCCCTTAGCTGCACCAGCTGCAATCTTCATCCTTGTGTTCCAGTCCAGAGGCTCCTTGTCCAGGGGAAGATCTGAAAACAACATTAAATAGTCTAACAAGAGCGGGTTGAAGAAACCTTATTATTCTTATCCAAACTAGAAAACCAATCACTGAAATGCATCACACCAGTTTTAGAGCAATTCTAAATCAAGAATCTTTGATGTTAAAGTTCTGAAGAAATGTCAGCACCACCAAAAGAGATTTAACAAGAACAGTAGCTTGTTTTACAAGTTATGACTCCAAGCATTAACAGATACTGTCAACCACGGGCCTCAATATTGCTGCAAAAAGCTGGTTTTGAGTCAAAGGGGGGATAAAAAAACTCAAAACGGATATTTGGTAAAGTTTCTAAAAACATAGTTTCAGAATTTCAAGACACTTAAAACTATGGTTCTGGTGCAAACCTTGGTCCAAAAACTCAATTGCAAACATAAACTAGAGATTATGCCACAGCCCAAGAGCTGAAAAGATTGCCAATCTATCAACAGCCTTAATCTCACCAATCTATAGCTGCAAGAATCTTCCTTTTCTATTCAGCTCAACCCAGCTACTTTCTTATACCTTCATCAATAATCTCTTCTCTAATTATCCCTACCCAGGTTCTGATAGGCTTTTCTTGTGGTCCTTCCTCACCTTAAATTGAATCCAATCGCACTGCACTCTACACTCTCACCGCACATGGTAGGACCATCTCAGTTGAATTTTCCACAATGTCAACAGGCTCTACCTTCGATTATAATATAATCAATTTATGAGGCTGGTTTTACTACCACAATTCATCTCTCAGCAGACTTAGTTATTGCTAGACTAGTAGAGTAATACTCTCCTTTAAAACTGAAAGGGATGAACAAAAACACATGAAACAAAAACTCAGGCCAAGCACTTCTGTCTATGGCAAATTAGATACTACATTTTAGTCCACATAAACAGAAGATCCTTTTTCTTCAAACTAAAAGATACAAAGCTAGTCTCAGTTTAAGAATCAAATTCAGTAGCCTAACAAAAAAAATACAGGTGCTCATAAGCAACCATTTAACAGATGCAACATAAAAGACGGTTGAAAATATTCCCTCAATCATTAGAAATCAATTTGACAAAAATTACAAAGGCCGCAAGGATTAGATGTAGTCCCTCAAGAAGATATATGTGCATATGCAATTAAACCATCATTTAAAAAGTACAAAATGCCTGATAAAAAGGCAGCTCAATACAGAGAGTTCATACATGCTAATCACAAGATTAGGCACAGGTTTAACAACTAGTTCTTCTAATCAGAGTTTTATATGGCAGTTCTCTGGAGCAGACCCAACTTAGATGATTTTGCACATACTAATAGCAATATTGACAAAACCTTTTGCAGTGAGTCAAGTTGTTTATGCAATAATCTAATAATACTTTTAATTGATCACAATTGATCTACAAAGTTAAAACCTATACTTGCATCATTTGTTTTACTTGCATTCTTCTAACAGATTGTCTTAACTTTAACTATGGATCTAGTACACTACCAACCATCTAGCAACTGCTATCAACAATTCGTTGTTGGAATGCAGCTCACAAAGAGATTAAACTAATATATAGCTACTTGATCAGATAACTAGAACAAAAACACCTGAAATTGTCATCTATATATCTCTAGACCAGCAGGGGTACTGATATGAGTTGAGGCAACGTGCCAGGTATCAAGTGTAAAATTCAAGCAATTTCCAAATACCAATAGCATGCCAGATTCAATTGCAACTTCTACTAGCAGTATCGAACACACAAGTAGTACAACCACTACCTCTTGAAACACGTGAGTGCTGTTTGGATACTAGGAATGGGGTAGTGGAAATGAAAATAAAAGTTTTATTCCCATCTTATAGTTGTTTGGTTGAAAGGAATGAGAATGGAAATAAAAAATAAACATAGTTTCATTCCCAAGTGAGAGGTAGGATTAAAAACAAGGAATAAAAATGATTTTTTTTTCTTTTCAAAATAATGATATATTATTTTCATTTATTGCATGTATTAATTACTTCTACCACCATCACAACTTCCATTGGCAGTAAAAAAAAAAAAAAAAAAAAAAAAAAAAAAAACCCGAAAAAAAGCTATTATTATTCTACCATCACTCCTCCTCAACTACTACCATCACTTTAATTATACCACCACAACCATTGACAAAGGAGATAAAAAAGTTGTTGTTATTATTATTATTATTCTGTCACCACTCTTTTTCACCACCACCATTACTTTTCTTATACCATCACCACCACTCTTTTTCCACTGTCAATTTTTATGGTGATTGCATTATTTATTTTTTTTTAAAAAAAAATGTCATTGTTATGATTATACTATTATTACTATGACCTCTTCCTCTTCCTCCTCCTCCACAACGACAATCAACTCTGTAATTTTTACTACCATCATAGTTGAAGAAATTATTATTTTTAATCATTATTCTTATTCGTATTAAAAATCAGATATTAAAAAATTTAAATTTTATTCTGATTCTTTATTGCTATTTCAAACACAGTATGGGAATGCAATTGTCATTCCTATTTTTTAATTTTCATTCCGATTCCTACATTCTCATTCCAGACCTTTCATTCTTGGTAACCAAATAACAATGGCACTGGAGGTGGCATTTTATAAATACTATCCCAGATTGGACTATTTTTATCAGGCACCATTCTGCTAGCATTTATAACATAAAATTCAAACAATTACAGCTGCTGCTACAGCAGCATATATGTTTTCTGTGCACTCTTAGTCAACTCTCACACTCCCCTAGGAAGAAAAACTCATGCAGATCACCAAACATATAAAAGTGTATGACAGCCACATATGTCCTGAAATACATATTTAAGAGAAAAGGAACAATAGAATAAAAAAGATAGTTTTAACAGTATGTAGTAGAGGACCAGCCCTGATATCATGATTGGATGATTTAGCAATCTGTCCAGAAAATGAGGTAAAATTGAGTGCGAGTTGAAGACAAGCAGTCTGCCATTAGAGATCACCTTTTTCTACCATGCATTGTGACAGCCCAATTAAACCAGAAGCAACAAGGTTTCACGAATGCAATGTATTAATGCAAAATAAGGCAAAGAATCTAACCATGTAAGTGATCCTCCAACGAACCCAATGGCATAAACTCATAAACAAGGAGGCGTTGGTCCCCATCAGCACAGTAGCCAATCAAGTTGACAAGGTTTGGATGGTGTAAGAGGCTGAGCATGAGAACCTCCACCAGAAATTCTCTATTTCCTTGAAGGCCGTTTCGGTCAAGCTGTTTCACAGCAACTACCTGCAAATTTTCCATCCAACCAAAAATCATCAAAGGAGATTATCACAACATTCTTTGAAATTACAATTCACAGTAAATGGTTAAACAGGTAAAAGACTACTGAATTTGGAAGCTTAATATCAAAAAGTCACAGAGTCTAACAAATAGTGCACATAATGTAAAATAAAAGTTACAAAATGTATACGTGCATGATAATATGTACATCCATTTCAACTAACCACAATTTACCTGGCCAGTGCTCTCCAAGCGACCTTTGTAAACACGCCCAAAACCTCCTTCACCTAACAAGCACTCTGGTCTAAAGTTCTTTGTGGCAGCAGCTAGTTCTCGGAATGTAAATGTCTGTGCTGCAATGTTAGCTGTTGGTCCATCTTTGGGAATCGATGGCTCCTTCTTAGAGTCAGAACCACTTCGAGATTTTGATTTGTCTTCATGAATATGCAAATCAGAAAACAGACAGATGAATTGTTATAGCCAGAACTTCAAGCATGCTAAATCATGGACTATGATTCAGCATCTAAAGCATAAAGATATATATAAACAAATAGAAATATGGAACAAAAATCTTTATGCTTCAAGTTACTCCGAGCACTTTACAATTAAATGAACTTCCCCAAAAGAATATACATAAAGCAAGAATTGCAAATGAGATGATGTTCTTTGTATTTCACTTATGGGGGAGTAATCTGAAGCATGTCTTAGTACAAACAGAGCGGGCAGCAATCTCATATTTTGAACACAACGTAAATTTGAGCCTAAGACATTACTCATTTTACATTCTTCATAGAAGCACAGATCACCTCAGAAGTTTTCAGTTTCTTATTCCCTATCTGCTAGGGCATTAGAAGTTCAGTTGAAATGCAACTACTACCGCACCATTTCATCCTAATAATTATCAATTATGATAGAAAGGAAAACATAGTTTTAAGAAGCAACACAAATGGAGTTCCTAAAAATAAGAGCAGATCTCCAAAATAAACACTTGGCACTACATCATTGGAACAAAAATCAAGGAGCACAATCAAGCAGCTAGCAATCCAATAAAAAACTGCAAAACTGAAAGATAAAAAACCCCAATTAATCAAACGATTCATATATGAAACAGATCAAAGCATTAACCAATTCTACCAGCAACCCATCACCAAAAACCTCAAAATGAAACCAAAAAACGCATAATTCAACACAACAAACCAGCCAACTGATCTTTAAAAAAAAAGAAAAAAATAACAAAAAATAAAAAATTACCTGAACTAACTCTGCCAAGATGGTTAGACTGACCAACTGAACCTTCTTTAACTGAATCCTTCTTGTTCACTTCTTTAACAACAGCAACACCACTACTATCCTCCTTGTTTGATGATCCAAAACAAGGAAAACACCCACCCATATCAAATCCACACAAATCAAACCCGACCCACTAAAACTCTAACACTCGAAAGACTGGAAATTTTCAAAGTTTGAAGCTTTGATACAAAATTTAACACAACAATTCAGTGTCAAGTCACTCACTTTGCTTTCTTTTGCTTTTGCTTTCTCTCTCCATAAACTTTCTCCCTCTAGGATCTTTAGTGTCCATTGAAGGTAAAGATCGATCGAGAGAGGCCAAAAGTGTTAGATCAACAAATCGAAGAAAATCTTGTGGAAGCTCAAGCTAGGAAAAGAAACAAGAGATGGTAAAAAAACACAAAAGAAACCTCAAAATAAAACCAACGTAATTTTATGTAATAAAGTGGAGTTTTTCCTTTTTCTTCTTTCGGACTTTTTCTTTTTTTGGATAAAGTTAACCACTATATGGTCATTTAATTATATAACAAATAATATAATCTCTTATAATGGAAATTTTAGATCGTCTTTGATTTTTATTATTTTTATGGTACCTTATTTGAGTTTAAATTTGATGAATGATTGTTGTGGTCTGAATTCACTACAATATAAGTAATTTAATTATAGAACAAAATAATATGATTTAAAAAAAATTACATTGTATTTAATTCTTTTTATGATGTACTATCTTGAGTTAAAATTTAATGAAAGATTGTTGTTGTTCAAATTACATATGTTCATGTTTGGTTTACCTAATTATATTTATATTAATTTTTATTTTTCATTTTAAAGTAAGCAGAAAAATCTTTTTTGAAAATAAATAAGAAATTCAAAGATAGAAACTAACATAATTATGCTCTCTATTGTAGGTGTGTATCATTCGAGTAAAATTCTACATAAACAAACATAATTAATCTAAAAAAAAATTATTAAAAACTGCTCTAAATATTCTTTTACCTCTAAAAAATAAAGAAAAATAGAAACACGAAAAATAAGGAGATGTCATGATTGGCAAGTAAACCATACGCATCCCTTTATATTTATTAGTATATTATTATATATTTAAGTTCTTTATTTTTCCCGTTTAATCCTCTTGTCCTTTCCATAAGTGAAGAAAATTAGAGTTTTGGTAATAACCATTATCACGGTCCGGAAAGTGGGACCCAGTGGAGAGGATGTGGGACCCATTGAAGGGATGTGCTTCTGCACTTGTGATGGACATTCCAAACACATGTTTAAAAATGTTTAGAAGAGAAGTTGTGTGTTAGGGATTGCCAGAGTTCAGTTTCATTTTAGTTTCCGTGAGATGTGGGTTTTGAAACGTGGAATTGGAATCTTGATTTCGTTATGAGTGACGTCATGGAGATTGATCCAACGTCTAGAAGTTCGTGTTGGAAAAAGCACAAACTTGTTGATATTATTATTATTTTGTCAAAAATGTATTATTTTTATAAAATCGGGGTAAAAATGAAAGGCAATAAACCCAATGCGTTGGGCTTTGTCTGAATGAATTTCTCATGCTATTGCAATTGCTAGCCCTGGAAGCACGGAATAGCTTCTTCTTTTTCTCAACTTTTACATTTGGCATGTACTTGATTTTTTTTTTTACCATTTTATTATTATTAAACATGAAGAACTAAAATAAATATCATTATAAGTTTCATAATATGAGATTAAAATAACGATTTTATTTAGATAATTGATGGATTTTACGGTATGATTGAATACGGAATATGTCTCACTTCATGATTTTCAGAGAGTTCAAATTTATTTTATAAGGTATAGTAAGGGTTAAAATTCTTTAAAAAATATAAAAAGTTAATTTCTTGTCACTATGCTAGCTGGGGTGAATGATATCATTAAGACATAATCACGTAAGTAATATTGGGCGAAAGCTGCCTAAGAATATTCTTGATATTAAAAAAAAAAAATTAAGTTCAACTTATATATATGCAAAACTATGAATTTAGGTAAAAAAAAAAATGATAAATAACAAAAAAAATACATGAAAAAGATTGTGAACCATTGAATATAATTTTAACGTGAGATCCAATTATGAACCCTATTAATATTAAAAATGGCTCATGTGCATTTTTAAAAATTATTCTTCTTATTAGCATCACTTTTTTTAAGTACGACCAAGTATAAAATTTATTATATGTTTGAAAATAAAACAAGCAAATAATTGTTATAAACAATTTGTTTGGGTAAAAAAAATACATATTTTCTACGAAATAGGCCTTAAATTTGTATATTACACAAAAAAGGACATATTTGCCCTCGAACTATCATGTTTGTCCCAATTAGATCCATCAACAACCGATTGTTCCAATTATGCCCTTCACCTATTCAGATTTTGATCAATCATCCCCTATCATGTGATCTATATTTAAAAATGAGTTAATTAGGCATGTAAACTCACTCTTCTCACTAAATTTTGAAGCACAATTTGGGCTAGCAAAATTTTTCTAGCCTTAAAAGAAATTTAGGACTATGGACTTAATTGATGTAAGCTCTCAAATATAAAATTTTCTTACAAAAATGTTTTACAAGCCTAAAGTATGTATGTGTCAAATTTTGATTGGAATAGTGACCTTATGATTATGTATGTATTTAAAGAATTATTAATTTTTTTATATCATAGCAGAAGTTTGATTGATCAAATTTTGAATATGTTAAGGATTCAATTAGAATAATTGTTAAATGAAAAACCCAATTGAAACATGCATGATAGTTTGGAGGGGATGGGGTTCTCCTTGATCCAAAAATATTATAATTGTTAAAATTTGTCAAACTTTAAGGTTCCATGACGCCCATGCTCCTATAAAATAAAACTTCCACTAATTTTTTTTTTAAGTTCCAGTGTGAACAACTTGTTAGTTATAGATGGCAACTTGACGATGGAGAAGTAAAAAACAATTAAGAATTGGTTTATTTCTTAATTACTACGAGATGGGGCCATTAACAAGATGATGATCATCATACTATGATTATTGATGAAATGGCTTCTAACTTAGATCGATTGTGTGATTGTTATAGCTTGATAGATGTTGATTTAATAGCAAATACCTTAAAAAAAAAAATCCTCATCTAGTGGTTAAAAGACCCTCTAATGGCTAAATGAAGTCATAAAGAGAGGTTTCTAACTTGAATAAGCTATAAGAGATTAGCTCTTGTATATAGAAGATAATTAATAATAAAGTTATTTTGAGTTTAAAAAGTAGAACCTATAACCTTGGGCTTGTTTATCTTTATATAGGAGAAGTCGTGATCAACTTGGATGGAGTAAAAGTTAAAACAATATTTTTCTTTGTACTCTTTTCTCATCATACAGGATAGGATTACCTTGTAGTTATTCTAACCGAAGTGATATAATGGAGAGGTCTATAACCGGAGCCATGGACAAGAACATAGAAATAACTATTCCTACTTATATGATTGAGTAAAACTATAAATTTTCTGTTTTTGGATTGATGGCGAAGGTTTTTTTTAATTTTTTGTGTGAGTGTTTATCAATTTCATCAAAATAGGTGGACCATTCTTGTTGTCTTTGACATTTTTTCTCAATAATTCAAGGTTATCCCATCTCTAAGGCTCTTTCTATATTCTTGTTTCCTAAGGAAAAGGTAATAAAGAAGGGAACGGGGGCTCTATGTGTATACTTTTTTTAGTTAGGAAGATAAGCCCATTGAAAAAAGTGTTTGTGAAGGTTATTGACTTGGTTGGTAATTGAAGGAAAGAGTGGTTTATTGTTAATTCTAGAAGGCCTACGCCTATAAATGAACATTAATCAATTTAGGGATGTATCCCTCTTTGGAGAAGGCCCAAAAATGGCTACAATGCTATCCCGATCCGAGTCTAGTATTAAATTGGCTTTTTTAGAATGAGTGAGAAGTACAAGTAGCAAACATCGAGTCAATCTTCTTACTAGGAGGTTATAGTTAAGTAGTAGCCTAGATAATAAATGTGCTAACCTTGAGCATTTTTTCTCACATGTTTTTTAATTTTAATTGTTGAAGCATTTTTTTACTTTATGTATATTGGTGGAGTGTTTATAAGAGAGTCTAATCTAAGCAAGTTCAAGATAAAGCTTGGAAAATCTAACATGAGAGATCTTGGAAAGGAACATTAATGGTGTTAGGTCATTTCTTCCTCTTTTAGGGCCCATAATGGTAAGGAAGATAAGGCTTGATAAGGCCCAAGCTCATATGAATAACAAAAAAGACCAATTCTTCTTTATATATATATATATATATATATATATATTAGGTGCTTGTTTCAATGACAAAACTCGAGGCCCTTACCCATCCTTAATCTTTTGGCCCAAGCCATTTCTCCCTCAATATGGGTGGTTATTCCTTCCCTAGTGGATGTCAAACAACCCGATGTAAGGGATTTCTCTCCATCTAGAGGAGATTATCCAACCTCAAGGTATTTGGTTAAAAAGGCTATTATGGATCCTTTTATCACTATAGGTTCCTCTAATACTATGAGTCCCTTTGTTGCTTCAGCACTAAGGTTTACTCTTACTCCTCTATCAAAAAAGTTTCACTTAAAAAGAGATCTTCTTATAACTTCACTTTATAGAGCATGAAAGGAAAAGAGGTTATCCATTTACTTGAGTTAGTTTCTTTACTTTTTATAGACATATTAAATTTTTAGGCCATTCTTTGGTGATCGGCATGAGGAGGGTAATGCCACTAACTTTGATAGTAAGTATTTTCTCTTTCTCTCTTTGTTTATTTTTTATCTTAAACTTTACTCCTATGGCATTGCCATGGTAATTCTTGTAGGACTTTTAAGAATAAAATTATAAATTTCGTAGGTAGGAGGTCTCGAGAGAGAGATGTCCACGATGGTTTATGGGTATAGGGTTGCCATCTAGACAAAGGACATAAAGATTGTCTTTTTGTATGGAGTAGAATACGAGTTGAATGAGATAAATGAACCCTTGACTAAGGACCTTGCTGATAAAGAAGATGTTGTGGCCTAAGATTAATAGTAGTGAGAAATTTAGAGGAGACTAAAAAGGCCATTAGCTCCGAGCTAGAAGAGATGAGAGCC